CTGCTACGAAGCCTCATCAGTACACCATCTTCACTGATGATCTGTTTTCCACTATTTTTCCTTTCCTCATGCTTGGTCAAGGTTACAGCCTCACTAGTTGGTACTTACATTTATCTCCCACTGCGAGATGCCGTACTCTTTCTTCACTTTGTGGATTATCTAAGCTTGGCTTTCCTTTTATGGTGGCTGGATGGGCATACAACAGCCCATTCCCGGACTCGATCACAGCTACGTTGCGTTTTGCTTTGCACGATCGGATTGGCAGTTGTACTTCTTCTGGTTGCGGTCTTCGGAGTTGTCCTATGCTGCTGGCTGCTATCTCTGGAGGTAATTTTGGCCGCGTACGAAGAATATCACGCTTTGCTGACTTTGGCAGCTGCAATTATTCATTCTGATCACCTGGATGATCTTGTCATATTACGCTGTTCGAGTTGCTGGAAGTTCAGTCGGTGAGCAATCAACTTGTTCAACAACCGTGGTAGACAACGAAGTTTAGGGAGACAGAATCAAGGGATCTATTGGCGGACTAGCAAAAACTTGCTATCATCGTATACTTGCTTGAAGTATTGCGGCAGTGCAAAGCTTCGAAACAACTTTGACCTGTTCAACGCCAACCACTAAGATTGAGGAAACCCATCTTCCGGCAAAATAGCCAAGTCGCCGACAGACAGTTCGTTCCAAACTTTGAGCACACCGATAAGCCTTCCCCGAACTTCATCCAACGCATCATCAATAGCATGCAAGCGAGCTACTTGCTCGTCTTGGCTGCGCTTCAAGTGGTTTCCCTCGTTGCATAGCTGGATATTTCCGGTCCGCAGTTTTTCGTTCTCCTCTTCGAGCTGCTGGATATCTGTATGTTTGGAAACGCAAGACTCCCACAAACAGCGAATGTACCCCACCAGACGTGCAGTCCGAAATGCAAGCTCGGTATCTTCTTCTTCGATTTGCTTCAAGACCTCGAGTATGGGTCGGAAGGGCTCTACAGCCAAAGTCTGCTTCTCTATGTCGTGGGTTTTGATCTGTCTGGTCAGCGTGGTCCTGTCTGTTCATATCTTATTCTTACCGGCAGCGGGGTTGCAACACCAGGAAGCGGGGGCTCCTCGGTTGAAGTTGACTGTGTGTACAGCGGTGCCTCTCCTTGTGTATCCGTCATTTCTGGCGTTTTGCTGGGATTCTCCATGGCTGATAGTGATTCCTCTGTCATGAAGCCAGTGTCCCTTTATACTATAATTTTGCTCACAATGCTGTAGATGGTGGGGCATGATCAGACGAATGTCACCGTGGTAGTAAGGTAGTAGTCCCTCAGCTACTTTGGATTCGACCGGGTTTCAACCTTCACTCCATGTTCCGTCCATATATCCACTCTTTTCTGGTCCCACCGCCAAGGCTTTAGTGAGGAAGAATTATTGAGCAAGCCGCATCAAACTGAGGGCTGCAGTGTTATTTTATCCGAATATGCCGCAATATAGTACAATGACCATTACGGTCTACCGTTCAACGGCCCAAGCGTAGAATGTAACCGCACGTGGCAGAATACAGGATTATCCTAAAGCATTTCCCAGTTGCCACTCTGAGGTTCGAATCAACGAAAACAACACAAAGAGGATAGAGTCCTAAAGCCCATAAATGAGAAGCTCCCCTAGAAACGCGTGGCTGTCCACTATATAAGAGTAAAAACCCCCAGGCCGAAACAGTTCACACAACAAAAGCCTAATCTGTACGTTTATACAGGCGTCATCGCAACCACGATGCCAAACCTTCCATGGGAAATTCTCAACCCTATTATCCGGTCTTTGGACCCTTTCCAGGCAAAGAAAGCGGCAAATGCATTATCTTTCATTGACGAAGATGAATCCCATCGCCTCTGGAGGACGATATTCAAAGATGATGCCTGGATTAAAATGGCTCTTAACTGTGGTTCCGATCCCGTACTCATTGGGGCTAACCTCCGAACCGTTACAAATTCATGCCAAGCAAAGAAAGGAGGGAAACCGCTCTACATAGTGCTTCGGGCGAACGACTGGTCTGGTGACACCCGCTACGCCGGCGTTACGTCCTTACGACGAAGTCTACGAACGGACCATTGCTATGACCAAAAAAATCACGAAGTGACTCTGCCAAAGCTCAGCTGGTATAATACAGCTAACAAGAAGATCACCGTTCCTAAAATCAAACTCAATGTCAAAGACATAGTCTTCGGCGCGGAGATAATGGAGTTGAAGGGCAAAACTACCCGAAAGTTGTTTGAACAGAATCCCCTTCGGTCGAACTTCTGCTTTTACTCGAGTGGAAATATTTGCACGCTAGCAAGTCCAAACATTGTTGGCGTGGGAGGATCAATCTCCCAGCGAGATGCCCTTACACCCATTTGCGTGTTGAACCTCCCATCCTCTAGGCATCAGGGAAAGATATGGCAGTTCACTATTGAAACACCGGGGTGTCCACCAGTCAAGCCAATCCTGAAAAACGGAAAAACAGGACCAATCGTTGAGTACAGATACTAATTTGTATTATTCCGGTGGTGGGATACTGTACATGTTTCTAAGCAACTAATTCCGACATCAGTCGCTCTTACTGACCCGGAATAAAACTTTTGTTTTTATATTGTCACTCTGTGCGAAGCTAGTGTATCTGCGTCTATATTCTACCAATAAAATCCTACCGTAGTTCTCTGTTGAGCCAAATTCTTTCCATAAGCGGCATTAAAAGGTCGATCGACAATGACGTAGCTCACCTAGATGGTGTAAATAGATAGCTATTGTAAAAGCACCAATTGAAGAGAACACTTCCGGTAAACTGGTCCGCCCGTGGAGGAGATATAGCGCAGCTGCTTCAAGTTTAAATACGTAGGGTCAATTCGATAGTCTATTTGATGACTGACCCTACAGGATAAGCCGAATCATCAAAGAGATTAAGCGGCGAAACGGATTTCGGGCGTGTGTACATGTATACCTAGACGGGGAATATGTATGTGTGGAGCTGAATGTCCAGGGCGTTATCATTGGTTACATCTAAGTGACAACGTGCAAACTCTTCAAACGGAAATGCCATACAACTCTCTGGATTCAGTCTGTACCGCGACTGTGCCACAGTACTGTAAACTAAAAGTTTCCTCTATTGGTTGAAGGTTCGACCTTTCACTGCATTGTTCGTCCACCAGATACTATAGGATGGATCAACGCTAGCTCCTTCTGCGTTCTGTTCCTTTCTTTGTTGGTGGGTTATGTCGGTGTGGCATGGGCCGCAGACGTCGCATCCATTCCTGTCGGGTTTCCTCCGTGGCAATGGCTTTCTCGTGTTCCAGCATGTGCTCAGAAATATCATCATGTGCACCAAACGCGGTAAGAGACGTCCACCACGTCTCTGGTTTCAAGCATCTCGGCTGAAGCCGCAGTCGAAGCGTAGGCTGGCCTCGCTTCAATGTTGATTTAGCCGGGCTGTTGACGCCCTTAGGCTTCCGCGACGGTCGCGTGTTAGGGCGGCGACCAAGTAATGGCATGGCTTCGAGTTCGTCCCCCCGGCGGCGCGTTGGCTGACGAGAGATGACAGGCATTATTCCGGATAATGCGAGAGATGATGTTTCGACTGGGGTTTCCGATGCTATTTATGCTATTTATCGTCGCCAGGACCATACGTTCACGAGGAAGTGTTCCTTGTCGCATTCACTTGTCACATTCAACGCATACCCCTAAACTGTCCTTCCTCACTTAATAGCTCGCAAGAGGGAAATTGTACTCGGCAGCACGGCCCATAATTGGGCGGCGTAAGAAAGTTGATTGTACGCTCTGTCGAGTTCGCTCGCCCTCCCATAGTGTCGTATGGTCATATGATAGATTGGATCTTGAGATTAGTGCGAAACCAAGTTTGGATTCCCTTTTTTTTCTACGCCGTCTGATTGACAGTCAAAGGCCTAGAAGTTACTCTGAACCGGGGTGGGATTATCTGATGGTTGGAAATACAATATGACGGTGCAAAGACACAACGACCGAGATACATCATAAATGCTTAGTCCATGAATCGGTCGGTCAAAAATCAGAACTGAACGGTTGATAAGCAGCCTGTTTAAAATGACGGATGGGTGTTCGTTGCATCCAAACCATCAGAAGCTGGAGGGCGGCTGGGCATATCTGGGCTAGAACACGTGGCCATCACTGAATGACTATCCATCTATAAAAACCCTAGCCAATCCCCATTCGGATATCCATGGTACATCCTAAATTTGTCGGACTCCTCTACATTCTCTGCCCTGATGGACCTACCAGCCAGTGGTTCTGCTTGCGAGAGCGAAGAGTGTTTGCCAAGCGAGAAACAAGCGAGCGAACAACTCAAACGCGAATGCAAACGATTGAAACATACAAAGATGCTCGGAATTTGGAGCGTCAGATGAGTGTCACATTCACTATCTCCCCGAGTTATGTGCCAAACTGGGATCCTCCTGCTGCATTTCGGGAATCGCATCAGAAGTGGTGAGGTGGATCCGGTTGTTCTCGACCACGCTAACGTGAGATAGGAAGGACGCTATCTTGGAACATTTTGAACTAGATCGCCTCGATTTTCAGCCATACCACGAAGACAAGAGTGGCTGCGTATCGACCACCGTACCAGACCCTAAGGAACCGTCGGGCCTAGGGATATATCAAATATGAGAAGAAAGCAGCAGAAGCGAAGTTAGATAAATCAGCCGAGAGCGAGGGTGGACTGCAGTGGATGAGGACTCATGGTCGAAAGAGTCAATTCTCCAGATCATGGTCACAAATTGACGAGTATTGCTAATACAATTGTCGTGGTTCAATTAACGCTGCCCGAACTTCATAGCCAGTTAATAATTTCCAACGGTCAACTGTGGTCGTCGGTAACCGGTTGGCCCCACTGGGGTGTTCACGCTTGAACGACAATCATATCGTCTTCGACCGATAAAGTCGTCGAGGCATACAACCTCTCATGCCTAACTTGAACATATATCAGGGGTTTGAGCCTTGTATGACGGATCAAATACAATCATGGTTCTCACAAGCAATGAGAAGCGCGCCTTCTTCAGACAACAGTGCCGTGAGGCATTGGCAGCCCATATTAGTATGTTATCGTCTTCTCTCCGCCTGATGAGCGAAACTAACTCGCGTCAGATGACCGACTTGGCCTTGTCGTCGCTCCAAGCCAGGTCCGTCTACAGCCATCGGTCGGGGATGGACAGTACTGAACAAAGATGTCGATATCCGCCTGGGCGACGTGGTTATCAGCATGCCAACTGCGACCTCTGGGGGCGTGGTCCACCATGACTATGGGAAGACACTTCGTGATGGATGTTTCGTACGCACTGGATCCCTCAATAAGCCACCGCAATATTTGCTACTGCAATATCCCAAACGCGCAGTAATATCACGTGTGGAAACACATTGATTGAAGAAATCGCATCCACTTCAGAGACACGAAAAGCTTCAAGACAATTTTCACGCAAAGATAAAGATTGGCTGTTCCAGGCGAGTTACGGCCATGAAGGCAAGTGTGCCGACTGTTCAAAGTGTTAACCGGACCAACTAGTTGCGCGCACAACAAGAGAAGCTAAAGAGCCCGTCATACATTACGGACAGAATTTCAGACCAAAGATTCCAATTGCAAATTTCAACCTCAAACATTGTATGCTCACAAACTAAGGTTAAAGAAGCCTTGGAAGCCTTATTAACTGCACATCAAAGTGAAAGATTGCACAAGATACCCCATCTCACCGGGCTGCGTAGATAGCCCTGGTGTTATACAGCTCGCGAAGAACATGAAGAATCCCCAAGTACCAACGAAGACCAGTGAGGAGATTACCAGCGTTCGCCCGTGATTCAACTAAGCTAGTGAATCTCGTCAGAGTCTCATTTGCCAGATCTTCTTCATGCTGGATAAGAACAGCAAGGTAACGTCTCTTCACTCCACCAGGTGAATCCTCGCGTGGGTCTTTAGTGCAGGTCTGAAAATCCGGAAAGTCCAAGGAATTCAGGTTGGAATCGGCACGATCCCGCTCAACGTCCGCATAGTCATTCCACATCCGACCCCATACTGCAACATGGCGGCTGTATTCCTCGAGTAAATATCTTTCCACGGGAGTGGCGCACACAACATCAGAAGGGCCCTGATTGAGACAAATGATGAATTTCATAGCGATGCCGCTCAAACCATCATACGCTGCTATTCCTTGGATATATTGGTAGAAGCTGAGTCCTGTTTCATGGAAGTCATCTGGTGTTGTTGCTATAGAGGCTTTGGAGACTTGAGCTAAGAGGGAAAGGCGGAGTTCCATCAGGAGGTTGTGCTGCTCATAGGGACTGGCAGTCAGAACACGTGGGTTCTCCATAAATAACTTCTTGCCGCTTGCCATTGCCTTGAGAACTCGATATACCTCTTCGTGATCCTGACAATCTCTCAAGGTAATAGCGTCGCCCTCCAACTTGTCTTGTAGAGGGACAGAGGGATCTATGTCTGCAAACATCCGACGGACGAGTTTTTCGATCAACTGCATAGTCTCCACGGAGCGATCTTTGAGCTCTAAATCAATCAGAGTATCGAGATGATAGGCAAACTCCATGCACTCAAGCATACCAAGCAGTATGTGATTACCCAAACAAGCTTTCGTGGCGTAGTTGACAGCGGTGCAAATGACCGCTAGCTTCAACGTGAATCCTTTGTCATAATTTTTTCTCGTCTCGAGTCTGTTGTTGTCTACCAACTCGCGCACAAAAAACGCCGCTTCGACACAGCTAGCCTCAATGATCCAAGCGGGAAGTTCTGTGAAATACTTCATGCACCCCAGAAGCTTGTTTTGCTTGGTGATCAAATTCGAGTCAACTTGATACAACGCTTGGACCGTTGGAGAATATACTCTTGTCGGCTGTGAGTCCAGAAGTGCACTCAAAGCGGCAGCCCGGGAGATAGACGACAGGCCATAAGCACATTTTCCATTCCAGCTGTAATCGTTGAATGGCGCATCGAGATTGGCAGATATAAAAGCTTGACCCTTCTGAATAGCTTGGCCAACTACTAGGCTCAAAGCTTCAGGTATGAAGGGAAGGGACCGAGTAGACTTTAAAAGAATAACTGCGTGGGAAGTATCCACACGGATGCTTGTCGAGCCCCAAGAACCATCCCCATTCTGACGAAGAAGGATTCTGACCACCGCTTGGAAAATCGTCATAGGAATATGGACCTTGAGGAGTTTTTCCGACACAGCCTCCACTCGTTCATCACTCAATGCAAACACGTAATCCGACAAGGCCTGGGTGATGGCCAAAGTGGCATAATACTCCGAATTGCTCTGGAGAAGAACGGTTAAAAAGGTTTACCCTTCCCATATTTAAGAACAGACTCACCCATTTGTCCTCAACTAGGTCGTGGGTATTATACCACGTACCACAGAGATACTTGATGCACTTCTCGATAGAAGAAGTATGTTTCCTGGATTCGGGGCTTAGTATTAATGCTTGCAACGCGTGTGCATTGCTACTGATGCTGGGGTCGCGTTCGCCACAATAGGTGAAATAGTTCTCATCGCCCTCAAATGCATCAATAATGGGTTGAATGGGGTAATGAAGTCCAAGGGTATAATAAATTGTCTTGTAAGCCATTGCAGTCGAATCGGGGTCGGGACAAATATTTCGGTCTGAATAGGGGTGGGTTAGTAATGTGCTGCTACTGATTCGAGAACACAGGCCAGTCTTACTCGATCCCATAATGCCTCCTTGATCTTCTAGGCACTGAAGCATCATATTTCCTAATTTGTTCACGGTATCGGCATCGAGCTTTTTGAGATCAAGTCCGCCATCAACAAATAAGTTGAGGACCTCAACGAAAAGTTAGCGACATGAACGGCACTGGAAAAGGAAAATTTCATACCCAGTCAATGTCAAAAGTGAATGTTGGAAACATTTGAGGGACGCAATAGCCATGCTTCAAAATGCTCACGTCTACAACATGCTGCAGATAAGCATCGGCTTCTACATCCCACACGGTGCATTCCATTAAATACACCGCAGTAGATGACGGAGAGGAAAACATCGACCCAAATCTCAAGTGATGTGAGAGTTTGCTGAAGTCGAGGAGCCCAATGAATCCTTCGAGTGTAAACAAGGGTGTAGGCTGGACTAGTCCAGTAGGCTTGTAGAGAACATCCAGAGGAAAGCGGGAGAGCTTCTTCCGGCGCAATTCAACAATTCGATCTTTGCCAGGGATTTGGAACACCACCCCTTCTTCCTCCAATTTCTCGACCACGACAGGGAACCAAAGTTCGAACCCAATTGGAAGCCGGGTATCCAATGAATCAAGGTCCCAACGTTCAATGTTCAAGTGAATGAAATCAATGGCCCGGGCTGCCTGGTGCTGCAAGCTCAATCTATCCTTGACTAGAGGGTTTCCCGACACACGGAGATGTTTCTTAATGGCCAAAAGAGAAACCAAGGTGCAGGTGATACGATCCACCAGTGAGACAGGATTTCCCCACCCTCCATCTTCGGCCTGATTCTGACAGAGAAATTCGAAACACACGGGGTAGGCCCATTCAGGGACGCTAGAAGCCTCAGTCTTCCTCGGAACCATTGAGATCCATGCTGTATCATATATCCCACTGATAATAGTTCCATGATGATATTTTTCATCGTAGGAGGAGAGCAACTCCTTGAGAAGGCTGTTCGCCCGTGGAATCACGCTATTCTCGTCCATTGTAGCAGCAAGAAGATGGCACAGCTATCTGAAGTATTTGAGCAATGGGATCAGTAAACACAAAGGAAAACTTCGAATCTAATAATTGTCGATCAATGTCTATCTTTTACTGAATTTAGAGCAAGGCACGAGTAAAGAAAACTTGGAAGTTCGCAATCAAACTGAGGCAAATCGAACTATCTTGCTCTACTCGATTGCGATTGTCAACTGCATGAAAAAAGTGCATTCAGGCGATCTATCTCTACTCCATCGTGATTGTCCAATTGCATGAAGCCACATGTACATTCGACAAGATGCACGAGATCAATAATGCCACATTAGGTTTGGGCCTTCTACGTGGCTCCTATCCCGCACCTCCACCGAGGATCTTTCCAAAGCAAGCTGCGGATTAGTGGAGCTTAGTGACTTCATCTCATGAATTATTATTGACATATCTCAGCTTTGTTCGGGAAAACGATATACGCATCCGCGATGAATACCAAAACAAAAAGAGACAATATTTGATGTATCCTATTCTAACTTTCAACATTTTGGTCATGGAAACAGTTGTGTTCTTTTGGGAAAAAGCTCAAGATGTGACATGTCACCTTTGATAAATGTTACGTCACCGACTACGTGTTGCTTAGGTCGTTGTGGAATAGCATTATTCTCTCTATATACTATATTTGATCTCATTCGGAGCATTGCGTTCGACCTCCAAAGAGTAGAATGGTACCTCTCGAGTGTCCATATAAGCATAGGATTAACCGATAGTAAAATGACACGTCAAGATACAGGCATATGCTCAACCCCTTCACCGTATTTTCCACATTTGTCCCGGATTTCACGCTCAACGGTAGTCTGATGAACTGGAGAGCGGATTTGAAACGTTGCTCGGAATGAAGCTGGCCAGAACAAGGCGAAACCCACCTTAGATCCCACTCTGTCAAAATTCCGGTTTTGATCCTCTGGATGAGGCGCGATCTTGTATCCCCAAAGCAATCGTGAAATAACAATAAACGTTGATTCGCGAGCCAGATGCCGCCCAGGACATGATCGTCGTCCATATCCGAAAGCGGCAGGCTCGGGTAACTCTGGGTTCTTCATGTATCGATCTCCCTGGAACAGTTCAGGTTCCTCGAACATTGCTTTATCGATATTAATCACCGATTGGCTGACAACGAGAACGCTACCGGCCGGAATGCGATAGTCTGAATATTCCATGTCCTTTGAAGCTACTCGGGGGACGCTGGTGGGAAGGAGCGGTCGCCACCGAAAAACCTCTTTGATAAAAGAGTTGAGACGGGGCAAGTTGGGCATGTCCTCAAATGATGGAAATCTACCTGGTCCGATGACCGCGTCCAGTTCATCCTGTACCACTGCCACTGCATCTGGATAAAGGAGCGCGGCCAGGACAAATGTCGACAGTGAACTCTGGGTCGTCACGCTGGTCGCCATATGTACTTCGAACGACTCCAAACATATCTCGTCCCAGTTCCTCGAATTTTCGAAAGTTTCAGGGGATTCTTGGGATTCTTGGGCTTTTTGGGCTTTTTGGGCTTCGTGGACCATTCCTTGGGCCCAACTTTGCTGGTGTCCGTTTCTAATGCTGTTGTTGATGTGTTGAGTAAAAAAGGCGCGGAGTCGCCCAGTAAACTTGCTTCCGGCATTCTCCCACCCAAGGACCCAGTTCAGATATGTCTCTATAAACGGAATCGAGCCAAATAGCAGAATGGTGGATAATAATTCACCAACGAACCCTTGAATAAGATTTTTTATGAAGAGGCCCTGTATCTCTATGATCTCCGCCACGTCTTGTTCCGAGGATCTTTGCCCAAAATTTAAAGTCGATGCCAAGTTGTACGCATATCGACTCGAGACTGTCTCGAAGTCATCGGATTCCAGCATCTGCCAAAGAACCTGTGTGGACTCGAGCTCCAGATCCCTTCGATATGACTTGGTTGTCTGGGTATTGAGGATTGAATATTGAAAGCGTCGGTGACGTTTCCATTTCTCCCCATACGGCAAGAGGCCTGATGGAAGGGGGATCTGCAGGATTCGCTTGAAAAATGGAATTTCAGGACGCGAGCTACACCAAGCACCCTGTCTGGCCATGACCTCGTGGGCGACATGGTGAGATCCCAAGAACACTATCACTTGAGCACCAATCCGGATACTAATGATAGGGCCATATGTTGTGTGCCATTGTTGCAATAAGGACAAGAAAGATGAGCTGGGGAGTTGATGAATATTTCCAATGAGAGGAAGAGGCTTGGGGCCTGGTGGGAGTTGTGATTTCCTATCCCATTTGAACAGGAGCACGAGTAATAGAGAGAGGATACAAATCCAGAGAGAAAGCATTTTTATAGGCGAGAGAAAATATTTTCAATTTCAACTTTTACGCGGTGAGCCACAAGAAGAGTAAGCATTTATCATAAAATTGCTTTTTTTGCTTTTGCCCCCTCAACTGCAGCTACCATCGTCAGAACTGCATGCGCGCCACCTACGTAATCCGATACGGAAGGTACGTAACGATTGGAGATGGAATGGTGGATAACGATTAAATTCATAAAGGGATGCATATATATGGGGAAGGAGAAACCTTTCCAAACTACCGAAGGATGTTGGAGGCCTCAGGCACCCAGTCCCGCGGTCAGGCCAATAGTGTGATGACTGTATTTAGTTAGCGGTGGAATTGGACCCTTTTTGAGACTTGTTGCCTGAGGCATTGTTTCTTCCTTAAGAAATTTTCTTTTTAAATTTTTAGATTTTGTATTACTTTGTAAAAGTACCTTTGAGCATGACAAACTTTGGCCCGAGAGGATACAGCTGCCGGCCAGGACTTGTACTGGGGGTAGTGGGAGGGAGGTGCTGGATTTTGGGTATCCAGTTGGGGCCAGGATTAATGGGTCTTTAGGGAACGAGACTGTTCGGTTGAATGTTTCGGGGGCTGTGGTTGGGAGGTTTCTGGATGATTCTGAGGAGCATAGGACGGCGAATGTTACTTATAATATCGTTTTCACAGGGGCTCTTGATGCTGCAAATTCTACGCAGATAGTTGTTGCTGGGAAGGCGAGTACCAAAGAGTCTCTTGTGAGCTTTCAGCGGGCTGCGCCTGAAGGGTTGGAGAGTGTCGTCGAGATTTCGTGGAATTTGGCGGTGGTTTCTTTGCTGGTTAGCATTGGATTGTTGCTGATATAATTGGTCTGTTGGATTGTGCTGCAGTATCTCACGCTGGATGTATATAGCTTCAACGTCGTATTCGAGGTCTCTTGTTGCATATGTCTCATTAAGTGTAGAGTTCACTTTCTTCCTACTCAAACCAACCCAATCAGTATATAACAATGTATCCATTAGTACTATAACGCCCAGCCAGTCCTGGAAGACCAATTTATGTTCCCATGATTCGAGCTTCCGACTGAGAGCTGTAATCGATGTGATATGGGCTTCGCGTCATCTTTAAATCTAATCGTAGGGATCACTGGTTTTTGACAGGCGTTGGTAACGAATGGAAATCGCGATAGGGAGCAGAATACATGAAAATAAATAAGCATAATCTCCTACCGGCGTTAGTGCTGTGTTTTAAACACCACCGCAGCCTTTTATTGTGTATAAAACAAGTGTGGACGAAAGCTGCGTGCGTGTTGAAGTAGGACTAGTGGACGGCGATCTTACCAGATCGCCAGAGCTTCCACTCCGTTTGGGCTGCTTGCATAGAATATTCTACGAGATTCCAGAAAGCCTTACTGTATTGCCCTGAAACGAACGAAGTGAGAGAAAGGGTTTACCTGATACCGTTGTTGTCAAAACTTTATCTATGATGTTGCTGTTAGTCAAATCCTGGCTTCTCATTCGCTACATTGACCCACTGTCCTCCTCTGATTCGCTACCTCCTCGTTCCACGCCCTCTTCTGATTGCTGTTCAACATTTTCGCGCAGGCTCCGCTACGCGACGAGGTGGCTTGACTGACAATGTGGTCGCGTGTTCGCGTTAACTTACGAGCGCTCCAGCCAATGGGTGCTGTTGAGTGGATCCGAAGCTGAACCCCCGTTTTGGGAAATATCACTTTACGCCCATCGCAACGCGGTTATAACCGTGCAAAGGACGCGTTTTTACGTGTGGAAATGCGGGTGTTAGATTATGACACATAAGCAGGAGGTAGCGAGCGCGAAGGGCTCGTCTCGGCCGTGGACAGCCATGTCCACAAGGTTCGTGATTGAAACTTCAAATCATACTATGCATTATATATATATTCTGAGGTTACCTTTTATAACTTTGTTGCACCTGTTGTATGCCAACCGCGCTTGTACGCGGAACACAATTTATGCTTCCACACAGATACTACAGCGCTACTACCAGAACCTAGCCCTATCATTCAAGGGTTTGGTCGCGGTTGTGCTCAAAGCTCGAAGCAATTGCTACTGGACATTCTGCCGGGAAGAGCGCCTAACCTAAGATGGCTAGACACCACACGTGACATACCCCACCGCCAGTAGGAATCAAGCGATTACATAAGTTAAGTCTACTTTCGATGTCCCTGTAGATGAAGGCCATGAAACCGAACCAGTGCGTTTAATCGCCATATACATGTGCACTGCCAGACAAGTCTAGTGGGGACCGTGTGCGATGACCCGAGTCAGTCAAATCAGCTGCTTTACTCGCCTTTCAGGACTGCCCTAACATAAAATCAGATCTCAAGCACTGGAGTTAACTTCCCAGACAAGGTCCGTCAGCTATGGGTCGACAGATGATTCAAAACTGGCATTGGGTTTTATCTGGAAGCTAATAAGCTTTCAATTGAGACTGTAACGTCATCGCCTGGTACATAGATGATGATTGGGCTGTTCTTTTATTTTAGCTTGACCAAGTCTGGACCTTCCTCTAAATGCACAAATACCGTAGAATCTCAATCATGGGAATCCAGCAAAGGCCATATTTCCCATGGATCTGGTCTCCATAGAGCTAGCAACATTTCAGAAGCCAAGGAGACGCTCCCAGGAATACGAAACTCCTCAATGCTCAGACAGCGTTCCTAGGACCACTAGCCCGTTGCTATATCAGTAGGTAGGAGAAAACTGATGCTTGGCCGGTGGCCACCTGTGTTATTTTCCCCTTTACCTCGTCATCTCGCATTTGCCTGGATTCTTAACTTAAATACACTCAACAACTCATTGCCATCACCCGCCATCTTCGAACCAACAAAAGTCTTCTAAGCAGCACGTTTTGTCCCCTTTCACGAACTGAACTGGTACTCCCAAAATTATGGTATGAACAGTTGAAATGAGAGGAGCCTTCCAAATGCTGATAATGTCATGCAGATTACTATTCTCCACTGCCCAACAGAGATCCTTTGGATCATAGCCAGCACCTTGCAGGGAAGCGATATTTCTGCTCTTGCTCGTACACATCCAACACTCTATCCCAAGCTACGCCTAGCCCTGATCAAATATAATGTCAGACACCAAAACAGTTCTGCGCTTCATTGGGCCGCCAAAACCAACAATCGTCCCTTTGCAAAGAACTTGCTTTCCTACCGAGCCGACGTAGATGCGATGGTCAGCGACTTCTCTCCTCTCATGATAGCCGCTAAATATGGCTCAGAGCTGGTTATGGATCTCCTACTGCGCAAAGGAAAGCCGCCGTGAATATGAGAAACAAAGACGGCATAGGTGCTCTGTGGTACGGTGTGGAGAAAGGGACATTTGCGGTCGTGAACCGGCTCCTTCAACACTCTCGTGTTAAGATCGATCTTCCAAATTGTCAGGGCCAAACAGTGTTCTGGCTTGCTGTCTACCGAGGCAACAGAGAACTGGCAAGCCTACTACTCTCAAGAGGCGCCAACCCCGATATCAAAGACCTCGACGGATTCTCGCCATGGATCGAGGCATGCATCAGCAATAAGAACTCCATCAAAGATCTGCTCCTAGATCACATGAAAGCTGTGTCCCCTGAGATGTTTTCGAAGGATAGTGTGTTTCCTGGCAATGGGAAAACGATATGCGAGGGTATCTCTTCTAACAGACAAGGCCAAGTTCAGCGACGAACAAAGCGGGTGAGATTTGTCCATGCCTGATCTTCCAACCAGAACAGCTCGCTGGCTGTCTTCTGTGTTATCTTATTCAATTTGAGAACGAGAATTAATAACACAAGACACAAGACGATGCGCATATTGATCGTAGATTGACTAATCATCACCTGTTGCCTTCACTCGATCGTACAATCTCAATGATTACGTTCATACATGTGCATTTGAATACAATCGCAAAGCGTACAGCGCACATTGAGATTACGAAGGCAGTGGTAGTGACAAATCTATTCAGGCTAAGAGGGGCCAGAAGTATATGGTGATATCCGGCGGTAACAATAATCGTAGTGAGTACTTTGCTAGTCAGTGGAACGTGGATGAGGTTTGCCTATACCAAGAAAGATGCCGCGAGCGATCTCCTCAGATGGAGATGCAAGTTGCCTCCAATTCCTGCACCATCCGCCGCAGAACGAACATTCCCGATCGTATTGTATCGCCAGCCAGCTGATAAGAGGAACTGATGTCCTCCGCAACCACGCATCACTATGCTCATATGCGCTTGAACGATTCTAGATTGTGATAAGCAGTCTTGTTGGCCGCGTTCACCAGCATCTTCAATTCGCCCTCATCCCCCGATTGCTCGAACAGTTTGCTCTGATTGGTCAGTATGTGACTCAAAGGGCTTGGCGGTCACGGCTTACGCGTAGTAGCTTCTCCGGTGAATTGCATCTCTTCAGCTCGTCAGGCAGACCCTTTACTTCGGCACTCCATGGGTATTGCGAAGGATTCTTCATGATCAGTCTCTCCACCACCTCGGCCAAAGCAAACAGCTTCATTGTGGCCGCGTCCATCTCGGCTGCATCGATCTGGCAACTTTGCTCCACTCCCGCTGCCACATTGCCAATAGTCAGAATCTCATGCTGACGTGGTCCGCCAGTATGCTTAGATATCTACTCACCAATCCTGACACCACCGAACTCCGTGAGTAACAAGGTATCAGCACTCAAGGCGGCAAGTGCTCTCCCCTGGCCGCGCAGATATTGAATTCCTTCGAGGACCTATCGGGCATGAGCACCGTTTGGTTTTGCATGTCGACCCTTGAGAGTAGTACGTACCGGCCGAACAATTGCAGCAATCTCACCTTCAGTGATAGTGCACCTTGATGCGAGGATGTGACTCACCGAGAGCTCTACTGGCTCCCGGACCAGAAATACCTGCTCCTCCCAACAATAGCACGCTACCATGCCTAGAAAGCTGGGGTGAGATAACTGGCTGATTGTTTCCAGCAATGGCTTGACGGATGAGGATTGTTGCTTCAAAAGATGAATATTGACGAGTGTTGCTTTGCTTTTCCTGTGTCGGGCCAGAAAGATAGACTGTCCTTGAAAGATCACTACGATCGCCTCGTACGTCAACCATGGGTTTTGGAAGACCGGATCAATTGTATGAGCTGTAATTTGGCCTTTCTGCAGCACTGGGCGTGGAAGGGACAGAGAAGAAGGGGTTACCGCTGGATCGGGCTGGGACCTAGCAGACGGCGCAGAAGGACGAGATGTTTTTTCCAAAGCGGCCCAATCAGGCGTTCCGTCACGCCACAAAGTCAGAGGTCGAGAGGGCTGGCTCTGTATAGAATCCATCTTGCAAGAAACGTGTCGAAGAGGTAGTCTTGGTTCTAAAGTATCCAAACAACGTCGTATTGCTCAATGCGTCTACATCGAGCAGCGGAAAAATTGTATCCAGACGTTGAGGCAATCACTATGTTTATAATGAAGTCGCAGAGATGGAAGGTTAGGGCTGACTCTCTGCGGAGCAAGCTTGACACTGACCTTACGAGCCGAGCATGGCTGTTTGTGTATACGGTTGTCCAACCTCCGTGGTGGTCAAGCGTTCAAAGTCGCGGTTAGACATAGATCACCGCGGTGGAGCCGGCCCTGCAACGGCCCAACCATGTCTGCTCATGCACTGCCCCGCAAACTCCAACCGGTTTAATGTCATGCATCCTCAATGAGATTTAAAATGGACTACTGTTTGTGTCTACTCACGACGGTGCTGAATACGGTGTACATAGCCCCAGGGCGAATCTCATGCAGTATATGAAATGGTTTCGTGTATTCATCACTCAGCTCTCGTCCATCTGAAGCCTAGACTATGGTCGGAAGCGATCGGGAACCCGCCTCGATCGAGGCGATCGACGAATAAGAGATGAGCTTGAGACCTGAAGACGGTCTGAACGCCGGGTAGGTGGGGTTGACCGAAGCTGTGGAGGTGTTGTTGGAACCCTTGTTTCTTCTACAAGTGTGTATGTGGCATCGAGAGGTGTTTCTGCTGTCGACTCGGCAGTAGTATTTTCAACAGCGGATGAGCGTAAGAGAGCACTGAACGATCCATGACATCGACTGTATCTGTATTAGTGAATGAACCGGGTAACAGAGGGTGATGGGATACGTACTGTGGCGGGCAAGAGGTGTTATTTCCCGGTAATCGATGGGCGAGCCATCCCTCCATACACCCCAAATGAACCACCCCCTTACA